TTAACAATTAAATGCAATACGTGTGCACAACAACACATGTGAAAAAAAGTTACATTAAGTAACAATGTATCACCTCTCAATCTATCAATTAATAACCTAATGACATCATTCACACTATATTTGTCAACTGTAACAGATGCAAGTTTCCTATCAATATTCCAATCTCAAAAACATTTCATCAAACTAGAAGCAATAATATTAGTGGTATGTGGGGCTGACACATATTTAAATCTGATTAAACAATAATTAAAATGCATAAGTTTTTATACATATTCAAACATAAATAATTTATAAATATATATTTAAAAATGTACCTTTTTGATGCGCTTTTATAAACTCCAAAAGTTATCAATGTAATGAGCAATAACAACTATTTATCCTTTATTTTGGTGATTTGAAATACACATATCAATTGTTATGGAAATTCTTCCATCATTAGCCTCATACTTGGACAATAACTTTACCTTTACCTCTTCTAACATACCTAAAATAACAAACTTTATAGTCTTGTGAGAAGACATTTCAAATGTAGGTTGCAGATTAGAACAATACTTTTTGAACTGTTAATGATCCACCATCGATAAAGGATATTCATGCATGACTATTATCTTCGAAAAGTGTTTTCCTTGCAACATTTAGATTGAATGAGAAAGCCTTTATTGTTAATTTTTCATCCGACTTCTTTTGATTAGCTACTAGGATTCGATTTCGAATGTCCACTTGAGCTCGCTTGTTGTACCTTTTTAAATAATAACGCAAGTGACTTGTTCCATTCTTAGATTCACCACTGAGCTTCTTTCTACAATTATTACATATCGCCTTCCACTCATTGTTGATCTTTTTTTTTATAGTGCTCTCATACCACATAATTTAATTTTGATAAGTTGCTTTCACTTGACTCATTATTTTCAATCACAACATTAGGTTGACTTAACGTACGACTTGTAAATCCCACGGAACTTGCTGAAGAACTTTCCTCAGCTGGTAATTGTGGAGAGATAAATGTATGAGATGTTGATGAAATAGAATTCTCACCAAAATAGAAATTTTTCTATATAAATAACGTTAAAGTCGTCAAAAGATAATATTCAATAGTCACAATAATTTATGTGATGTTAAATGCCAAATGTCGATTCATATTGTCTTCCCGAACAAACATTTGACGAACCATATACTTAGCTTGCGGTTCCAACAAACAAAACATCAATGGTTGTATTAAATCTTACAGGGTAACAATAGCAGAATAACAATTTTATTTTATTTCAATTTTGTTTCTGCTAAAAGAATTATAGAAAAATTATCATCATACAAGAAAGATGTTTGTACATTATAGTACTACAATAAAGATGTCAATAAGGCTATTTTAACGAAATAATATGGACCTGTGATTTGTAAACTGACAAATTAAAAGTGAACTGCACATAACAAAGGCTTTCTTTAATTTAGCACTCCCCCCCCTTTTTTTTTGTTTTATGCTTTTACTTATATAAAGGGAGAGCCAATGTTTTAATAAATTAATAAAAAAAAATGTATGGATATGGTATTACAGTTACTTAAAGCCATAGACACAACAATTACGTTTAAATTTCAAATTGGTGTTCCTGAAATATCAAAATGAAAATAGATATGTATCGAATAAAATAAAATTATTATAACTTAAAGAACCTTTCCGTCTACTGACTTATTTCTTTCACCATTAATGGAATGATTTCATGGTTTATTGAATCTGAATATATATTAGATTTTTACTAGCTATAAATTATTCGATAATTTTTTATTTTAAATCAATTTAAAGTATAAATTAAAACATACTAATTTTAATGAATAATAATTAAAGAACCTACTGATTTGGAATGAAATTAAAATCTAATTAGGGGTTGGATAAATGATTTAGTTTTCAGTTTTCACGCATACAAACCCGAAGTTTATATAAATATAAGTAGACTTAAATCAATTCGGACTTAATTTTTAAAAAGAAACCCGATCCTTTCGGGTCAAAGTCCGTCAAGTCTAGGTCATAGGCCTATCCCTACTCCTATTACTTTTATATTTAAAAAAACGATTAAATTTGATTTTTCAATTTTTGTGAAATGTGTTATATTACTATATTTTAAAATATATATAAATGGCATTTTAAAAATATATCAAGTGATTATAATGTATATTAAGTTTAAAAACTTTAGAGAAATATAACAAAAAATCTTTTAAAAAAAATTGAAAAATGTGAAAAAAAATTCTCAATTTTAAGTATTAAATTTTGAGTAATAACACTTCATGGTCAAAATATCACATTCATTTCATTTTAGTCCTTTTAATTCAATATATTAATCTTGTTTAATTCGATTATTCATTTGTTTCTTAGAAATGACTAATAAATTGAGTAACAAATCAAAATTAATGAGATTCGAATCTTGGTTCTTTTATTTCAAATTAATCAATTTAAATTTTCGATCGTCTAGTTTAAACATATTCCAGGAGCCAAGAGGATATCACAAGATCAATACGGATGAAGCCGTATTTCTTTCGCATGATCCGCCACCAGAGGCGGGCCTTATAGTTTTCATGGGTATCCCAGGCAACGCCTCAAAATTGTCTACTTAGTGTTAATTTTTTCTAATTTTTTTAATTAATACAAGTGTCACCCCTAATATTGTGTGTAACTGTTGCTCTTTATTATAAGAAAAAATTAATATCCTATTTAAAATTAAAAAAAAGAGATAAAACCCAAAAAGCAAACCTTAAGCCCATGCACCTATTTTTAGTTTTGTGTAACCCCTAAATTTTTGTCTGTCCGCCACTGTAGGTTGTGTATTGGATACCATCATGGTAGTTCATTGACAAGTTTTATATGAAACCTTGGGATCCACTTGGAGCTTGATGTGGAATTATGGGGCATATATGATGGTTTTATGCAGGCACATAATATGGGTGCTCGAATACTAGTGTTGGACTCAGATAGAAAAGCAACATTGCATGCTATTATTAGCTCAAGTTATGATGTTCATAATGCAGTTATTCGAAGCATATATCAAATTCTTACAAGGGCATGGGATGTTAGAGTGGTACATGTTTATGAGGAAGACAACTTCACAGCTGATGCCATCGTGCACCATCTCATCTTAACCCCTTTTTCACAAAATAAATAAATAAACATGATTTGAAAACAACAAATGTCTCGAAATCTTAGTTTTTTAAAGGCACAAGACGCACCAAGCCGCAAAGTATCTCTAGAGCCTAGGCTTAGGGCGAAGGAGTGCGACTTTCATAAGAGAGGCACATTTTATACTAAAAACCTAATAAATCAATTATAAAATATATTTTATACTCAAAATAATATTATAATCATATTATAAATATTTAAAGATCATAATATTTAATATCATTAAATAACAACACAAATAGAACTAATAGAACTATTATACGTTCATAAATTTAAACAAGACTTAATTGGTTCACATAAGTAAACTTTTAACACTAGAACTAATAGATTTACTGTTAAAATCTTAATATTTTTTATTATTTTCCTTATTTTATGCATTTATTGTTATTTCCATCTTAAATATACACTAAACAGAACCAACAACCATAAATCTACCCACAAATATGCCTAGAAGAGCCTTAGAAGCTTAGCAGCCAACCAACACCCTTAAACCTGAGCCACAAATATACCAGAGTTTTTTAAACAAAATTTTGATCATTTAAAACGGGCTCAAAGGCCAAAGGAAAAGCTATGAAGCATCAAATTAATACAATATGAATTATTAATGAACCATCACATGACAAAACACACAAACATGCTAGATCGAACTAAGCTGATATTATAAAACATGCAGAAAACACAGTGGACCCTACTTTCTCGTCATCAAATAATGAGTGGAATTCTTCCCCACTATATATTCTCCGAGGGAAATAATAAATTTGAAGGAGTTATGTATCCAATTATAATTTATGTGATCAAGAAATTTATCTAAATATTTCTAGGGAAAAAATGGATTTCTGAGCACCGATTCACTTGCCTTTCCCATGTGAAAAAAGGATTTGAGGACTCAATTGTGCAGTAAATCACACTAAGTTGGCCAAACTTCTTGCAAAGTGCAAACAAAGGTTGACAGATAGCAGCTTGCAGAACTTGTAATTCTACAGTAATATTCAGTAAACATCAACAATTAATTGCACTGATATTGTTGGAGACACAATCACATAAAGCAGATTATCAAAATTCTGAGTATCAATCACCCACGGAAAGAAATAAAATGACTATAGAAGGATTCAATGTCTAACTTCATATATTTTCAGTACCACAAAGTTCATGAGAGAAGATAGCCAAGCTAAAAGAGATTGGATATTCAAGGTGTTCTAAATTTCGTTACTCATGAAGCAAGGGCACATTTATAATTAGATATCTTCATTTTCGCATAAAATTGATTTGAAATATTGTGAATAACAAGGTTATATAATGAGAGAAAATGGATTGGTGGACAAGAAACTCCAATGAAATCACTCAGTAAGAGGTTATGACTAAAAGATTAGCAGAGTTCTTGGAATAACTAGAGGTGTTCAAATAAAAGAATAGAACAAAAAAACCAACAAACGAGCTCCGACACAACCATATCCATAACCACATTCTACGATGCTCCACCCTAAAGAAATTGGGATGATGCTGCGTGCCAACAACCCTAGGGATTTTTCTGTTAGTAATGCAAAAAAAAAAAATCCATAGCACTGCAAATAAATCTACCCCATCTTAAAAGTTTCAACAACAATACTCTGATCATGATTATTACACCAACAATACTTCATCAATAACTTAAGTGGTTTCAACTTAAATAAAAATATAGCCACATCATCAACATCCTCAATTATAATGCTAAAGTGTGATCCATATTTTAAGTGCTCCAAATTGAAACAACTTCACAAAGATAATTATTTAGCAATTCATTGAAAAAGCAGTCAGACTTTCACTTACAAAATGGGATACGGAAGCATAAAGTGTTCACAAAATTCACTTACAAAATGGGATAGAAAAGCATAAAGTAATCACAAATTCACAATTAAAACTCTTACAAGTCAAGTAGTAGTCAACTATAACCTTTGCCAAGACAGTTTAGGCAGCGCTGCACCCTATAATAATCCCAGAGAAACCATCAAGACCTAGAGAAAAATCTCTATAAGAAGAAAATATTGAATGATAAATGAATAAAGAAAGACGACTAACCTGTTACCGTCACAAGTAGGGCAAACACAAGGGTTAATATGAATAGGATCATACAAAGGTGACCACTTTATTGTAGCATTTCCATTGCATAGCTTGAATAAGTAAAATCATTTCCCTTTACAAATCCCACAAGGCAAGGCAATTTTTTCCTACAAAACCCAGAGAGAGAAATTGAAAATGTTCACACTCTCAAAACATTAGAAAAGAATAGAAAACAAGAAAAGAGTGGGGATTGACGAATTGTCTTTACCCGTTTCCTTTCAGCTACAGAGCGAAATGCACCAATGGCAACAGTAGCAGCAAGATTCAGAGTCAGAAATCCTCCAAAAACTATAGCAGCGCCTTTGCCCACTACATGAAGTTTCTTTGGGACCATTTTTTAACCTTCTTAGTTATTTAATTTCTTACAGGAATTTCTTCGAACAAAATCGATGCATAAGAAACGTTAAGTTTTACCGCTATACGATAAAGAGTTGGTTCAATACTTTCAGGTCTATAGTTTTCGTTTGGTACAAAACCAGAATATCATAAATAGTTCACTAAAATTGACAAGCTCAAACCCGCAACTTTCTGGGCTATTTGAATTTATTTGTCTCCTTTAACACTCTCTTGGGATGACCCTAAAGATTTTTGGGCATCTGAAACTTGAACCATCCATTGCCAATCGCAACACATACAGAGACAATGGAGCAGTGGAATTTATCTATTCCTCTCCTTGTCCAACCTAAAACACCAAAAACGAAGTAAGTCCATATAACTATTAGCTATATCGAGAAAGAAACTAAAGCAAACAAGTAAATGACATGTAGATTAATATGGAATGACCCTTAATATTAAAACTTCCACATGCAAACAAGAAACCGAGCACAATAAAGGCACAATCAAAGTCATGGATGATTATCAGGAGATGTTTGTCGCCTTAGACGGTGCCTCCATGGAAATGATCCACCATCTGAATGCTCATTGTCCTCATCTATGATAGATCGAGTTTCCCCGTCATAACTTTCTCCCCAAAGTCTAGCGGATCTTCTCCTAATAGTCAGTTGAGTTATCACTCTTGAGGTGCCAGACCAACTGCTGCTCCAAAGACTAGACCTTGGCTGAAGCACTCGAATAAGGAAAAAGACGGTGAGCCAACTTCCATCATCAATTGGTAATATGTTGTCATCAATCCTCTCCACCTCAAATGAAGATTGTAGTGTGTTTACGGCCCAACCTCCTCCAATTTCTCTGTCGCTCAGGATCAGCCTATGATAGTCGCAAAAAAGGGTGCTTAAGTCTTGCATGCTTCCTTACGTCACATATGTTTCATAGGAACAACTTCTTGATTTGGAATTCATGAAATGTCAAGCAGGCGCTACAACCCCCTAATCTTTTACGTTACCACGACTTAAAGGGCACGCTAGTTTTGAGAGCACTTGCTTCGAAAAGTCAAGCCACTTGCCAAAACTTTCGGTGGACAAAATTTTCGGTGCAATTGGCACCGAAATTGTTGAAAATTGAAAATAGTAAAAATATCAAATTTAGTTCATATACTTTATGATATTTACAAGATTAATTCTTAAGTTTTAATTATAAATATCATAACCTATTTAGCTTCAAAATCATCCCAAATCATTCTAGTTTTCTCCTAATACTAGATAATTTAGAGAGTTTTCTTAATAGTTGTTTCCTCCTTTTTATCAAGAGAGAATTGTCATTGTTTTCTTCTTGTTAAATCAAGAGAAGTTGTAATTCATATTTTTCATAGTGAAATTCTTATACCGTTGCCCGTAGTTTTTATCCAATATTATTTAGGGATTTTCCACGTAAAATTTGTGTCTTTTTTATCTTCATTTTTATTTTCTCAAATTATCAATTACGATTTTGCTCTATCCGATAACTGTATTTCGCAACACTTCTCACATGAGAAAGTAGATGGGGGTGGAGAGCCCTTGCTCTGTCCTTTCTCCCTACAACTCAAAGATTGATTCTTAAGTTGCAGTCGCATCCGTGGATACTAGCTGAGCTCTTTCTTGTTGATGATCTTGTGGTGTTCTAGCAATTGACTATGAAAATGACTTGGGAAACTGATCAAAACAGTTGGTGGCGATAAATTATATCGCACATGTATGGACAATAACCCTTTTAATGGGTAGAACATACGAGAAGAATTGCACTGTGAGGATGTTCCATGCAAACATGACACCTGGCATCTTCTCATTCCTTTAAATTTTGCTCAGTTTCTGAAGGAAATTTGGGTGATGATTGGTGACACGAGAAGGGGGATCTCCTACACCTATCAGAAAAAAACGAACGATCTCTTCTCTCCTTTGGAAGATTTAAATCTCTAATGTCCAAAATAAATGCCATGGAAAAAATGAGAATTTTCAAAACATTGTGTAAGTTACGTACGGTCTCTAGATAAAGTTTGGGATTATCTTGTAAACATTAGTATTCTAGTTTATCTCTAACTCAAGCTGACTTGTGTCGTTTTCGCGTCAAAATAATTCCTTAATCACAAAAAAAAATATAAAGAAAATATAATAAGTGGAAAGTAAGGGTCGATCCCACAAAGACTCTGCATTTTCTGATTTAGTTATCTTTTTGTTTATGAATTGTAGAGTTTTGATAGAGATGAAATTTAAGAGAAAAAAATAAATAAAAATATAAATATAAAAGAGAGATAAAAATAAGATAAATAGGGGGTTTTGAAAATCTGTTTGAAAATAAGATAAAGGCAAAATAATAATAATAATAATTGGAATTTTAAAAGAAGACTTCTTGTAAAAAGTAGTATCAGGCTTTCAGCTTTGATTCAGTTTCCTTGGATCATCGAAATAGATCTTAACTTCAGGATCCATGCTGGTTACTTGTATACAAGGTCAAATCCTTGTGATTATGCTTTGTATACTGAATATCTAAGTGCAATCTTTAATATCGGTTTGTGAATTGATCTAAGCAACAACAATGTTGTAGATCTAAAAACGTTAAGGCTCGAAAAGCTACCGACTCGAATTATGTTGTTTAAACAATAACTGGTTTCGATCTCAGTTTCCTCTTAGCAAACAATTTTGCTAACTGTATTCCCAGGAAGTCGAATGTGCTTCAATAAGCCGACCCTTCCACACACGTTAACCATAACAACATCCAGACCAACGTCGATTTTTTGGTTTTGAAAATTGTTTTGATTTGAAAATAAGTCTAGAAAACTGAGAGAGATATCTAAAGCGATTTAAGTGCCTTACAATTCTCACGTTTGGAATTGAGCCATCGCTTTAGCCTTCGGCTTAAAAATATTAGCTAAGCATGACAAAAGTAATACTTAGCAGGTTTAAAAATAAAACTTAAAATAAAATAAAAATGAAAATGAAAACTTGAAAAGAAAAGAGAGAACTTTATAAAACTAGAAGAAGAGTAAATTCTGAGTTGTAGAGATGTGTTTTAGGCTTACCCCGAGAGGGTATTTATAGCCTTCAAAATCCTAAAAACAAGGTAGAGATAATTCCTAAAATAAAAAATAAATCCTAATGAAAATACTTAAAACTATTTAAACTAAAATACTAAAAACAAAGATAAGATATAATATAATAAAATATAATATTTAAAATAATATCCTAAAACATGAGTTTAATTCAAATCCGAATTGCACAAACGTGCGGCTGATCCATTCGTTCTTCTAGAAGCGCTGACTGGACCTCCTAGAAGGTACTGACGTCATCGTATCGTATGATACGTCATGCCCACTAATCTAGCTTTGATTCCGAAAATAAAAAAAACTGCAGAATTCTGTTCTTTTAGTGCAATTTCCAGAATCTAGTGTCATGCACAGATAATTAATCAAAACAAACAAATAAGCCACAAAAAACAACGATTAAGGAGAAATTTAAAAGCAAAATAATAACCAAATAAAGCACATATCAAATTCCCCCTCACTTATTCAATGGTTGTCCTCAAGCATTCCTCAATTAACACATCAAAATCATAAATTGCCATATTCAATTTCAATTTATTTCTCAAACTTCCAATGGAACTAAGTCCATCATAATTGTCGAATTCAAGTTACAATCAAGAAAAGAAACAACTAAGAAAATTTAAAGCAAGCAAGATATCCCAATTAATTGCCAACTTCAATGAAACATGACTCAATACCTCACAAAGATTCACAAATATCTGCTAAAAGTGTTTAGGGGAAATGAAATCTCTCAAACCGGAACTAATCGAAATATTACCATAGGCTTGGAATCCAATCATGTCTCCACTACTAAAAGTGAACATAATGCAATAATCAAGGCTTTAATCTGGGTTGTAACATGAGTAAGGTATAGATAGGGAAAAAGACAGAAAAGAAAGGTTTAAAATTCCAAAACAAGGTATCAAAATTATTAGGAACAATCCACGAACTAACATGAAGAACGGTGAAAAATAAAACAAGGAAAAATAATAAATGAAAGGCAATTGAAACGATCGATTTTTCCTTCTTCTTTTTCTGTTGTTCGAAATAGTGAACAACTTTTTTTTCGAATTTTTTCCCTTTTTTCCTACTTTTCTTCATTTCCTTTTGTTTCGTGGGATAAGAGTGATACGATATCTCAAGTCTCGGCAAGGGTGTGAAAAGAGAGGAAAATAAAAAAAGGCTTCGGGTAAAATTATGAGGTGTAAAACAAAGAAAGTGAAATAGGCTCATATGTGGTTCACTAGTGGATATATAAATGGGTAGGTTTTTTTTAGGAAAAGTGGGTTTATCATAGGTGCCCCTATCACATTAAAACATTACGTTCAACATGTAGTCTCGATATGCATTGTGATTACAAGTTCAAGAATATCCTAATTAGTCTGGCACACTCAAATCAAACAATGAGCAAAAAAGAAAATGTATGCTCGTTAGGCTCGAATCTCACAAGAAACGTTTATATGCACTGAGTCAAGTTCATCTCTATCAACAAAAGCATAAAATAACAATACTCACAAAAAAATTCACCAGCTATACCAATCACCATTATGCAAATTAAATTCGATCAAAACATGGTCATAATCCAAAAGGAAGCAAGAGTATAAAGTGAAATTCAAGAATAGAAACCAACGATCCCAACACATCAATATCAGAATAACTCAATTTCAAATAATCAAACAAGTCAAGGAAAATTTGGACATGTTTATCCTTCCCCCTCACTTAATCCGTTTTGTCCCAAAACGTATATCAAATTTATAAACAAAGAGAGGGAAAAGGAATACTCCCCGATCTAATGGCAACAACGGTTGTGGCCACATTGAGACGAGTCCGGGTGAAGGTAAGAAAGAATCTCAACAAGGTTGGCATCAATGGCGTCAAGGAGACCAGACACGCCTTGCATCTCAGCTCGCATATTCGATTGGGTGCTAGCTGTCGGAGGTGGTTCAGTCATCCTCATGTACACGTGCCCATTACGAGGTGTAATGGTACCTGGAGGTATAATATGAGGGGCAGCGGGAGTGCCTGGGAGAAGTCTCATCGAT